TTGACTTGTAATTTTGAAAAAAGATATTTCGTACTTCACAAAAAATAACCACCAATACCACTTTTATTTCAAAGAATGACTGCGTCAAGAACACGTCTAACTGTATGAAATCGCTTCATCATAACTCCGTAATCATTTAAATGTCTTATAACAATTTACATATGCTTTTTGACAGAATTATTACATATTCAATAGTCATAATTTTATATCAAGAAGCGGGGGCATTAATTTTATTTTAAGCAGGGGCGTAGATAGGGCCGGGTGGCCAACCCTGGCCCTGGCCCAGTTCAAATTTTAAAAATGTCTAAATTTATATGGTAAAAATTCCGTGTAATTTTTTCCCCAAAAATATTCTTTGTACCGGTCCAGTCTGACCCAGTGTCCTGGCTCCGCCCCTGATTATAAGTACTAATACTAAATTTCGGGGTCGAAAGCGGGGGCACTTGCCCCCTAGGTCCTCCACTGAATGCTTATAAATGTTGTATATACATGTGTATGTCTGTTTCTATGTTGTTTTGTTGTGCACTTTAGATAAATGTTAAGGAGTATATATGAATAGGGAGTGGAGTTTGTTATAGTTTTGACACATGTCTAGTTTTCCAATAAACAGTGTTGCCACATTGTCAACAACTTCTTCAAAGAGATCTTTAGGTGTTTGCTTTATTATATTACTAGTATGTGCACCCGTGTGTCGCACGGTGTTAGTCTTAATTAAGTTTTTCCAACAAAAAGTGAAAGTAAAATTTAAAGAAAATGAAAGGGAAAATACACAAAATGGATAAATGCCTCAATCTCGTGCCAAATATTTCAGTTTGTGTTATGATGATATACGTTATACTTTAAATAGAAAATACAAAAATGAATACATACTCGAATATTATTAGATAAAATAATAGTTAAAAAAGTGTTAGTTGACTGTTGTATTGTAGGTTTGAAATGAAATTGATTATCATTTTACATTTTCATCTTGCACATTAAGTTTGTATGAAACGGGCTAGCCCCGTGGATTTTGACTGATTTTGAAAGATGTATCTATAGTGGGTTGACACATGCATGTTGTGAGTTGTCCAAAATACAAATATGTATTTTTGAATTTCATTGTCTTCAATATTGATTCTTTACCACCGGTTGAGGTTAAGTTCTCGCGGTCCGAAAGTCCAACAAAGTCCAACTATAGTATGCAAGTTTGTCAACTCTTTATAATGTAATAAATGGGAGTGTACGACAATGTAATAGGTGTACATGATGATGTGTCGAGCCCTAAGCGGATAATTCCCAACCATAAAATCCCCCACATGTAGTGCACTAAATGCGCTTCCCATCAATTCTAGCCTTCCCGCCGACTGCTTTGTGGAGCTCTCCCATATACAACCAACACCATCTGAAAAAACACCAATTATCAGAATATTATCGACCGACGGATCTCGAGCAGAAATTAGACCCGTGTACCAACACTACCAAAATTATATTCTAAAATACTTATTATTTTACAACCTTTTTTGAACTATAAATAATCATTGTTTACAAATATTGACTCAAAAGATCTAATTGTATTTTTATTTTTGTACAATAAGTGATTTTGCTAGATACCATTTAATAGTTATCAAATTTAATATAACAATGATTTAATAATATTTTTAATTAAAGTTACCAAGTATTTTTAATTAAAACAACACACGACAATAGAGGAGACATTATATAAATTAATATATAACATAATATATTATTAGAATACATCAGAGTGAAGTTTTGGAAGTTGGATAGTGTTTCATTTATGGTGTTGCCACATGTCATTTTTTCTACAAAGATGTTGCCACATGTCAATAATTTCTCTAAGGTGTTCTTTAGGGGTTTGCTTTATTATATTATATAGATATAGATTATATAGATATAGATATAGATTCTTATTAACCATACAAACACGAATATAATTATAAATTAAATATATATAGGGGTTGAGTGGGGATGAGAGAGGACAGCTGCGGTGCCCCACTGCAGATATACCACTGATGCTATATGTGTATTCTTTTTACTCGAGAGTTGCTCCGATTCTCTTTTCTCATACTGAAGGGTGCCCTGATACTTCCAAAATTCCAAGACTTGATTGATTGTGGTGACCATTCCATGTGGCTATCCGTTTGACGTTCGTAATACTCACGTGGAATAGACACCAAAATCAATTGAAGAGCACGACCCGGATGAAGAAATCAAGGCACTTGTCTTTCTAATACTGAGTAGCAACTCCATCCAGACAAAGACGACAAATCCATAATAATCTTAACCTATCTTATAAAGGACGGAAGTTTTCAATAAATGCTGAGTTATGTGTTAAACACTCCTAGATTGTGCTATATCTTCATGTACTTTGTGTTATGTATGATATACGCTAATGATTATGCATCATGGTAATGTTAGAAGATCGTTAGTTCACCAACGGTGTTTAAGTCCGTCAGTTAAACACTCCATAAGTGCTACTCGTACATTATATTTGCTTCTCCTTAAGCCGTAAACTATCGTTACTATGGAATCATTTTAAACAAAAACTAAGAATTAATTAGTGTTTTGAATTGTTTCATCCTTAGCAGTTTAATAAAAGTTTTGTCTTGATAGATGTACTCAAAACTACAATTTTTCTTTTATACTCCGTATAATAAAACTTTTTGAGACCATTTGACAACACTATTTTTCTGCTTATATCAGACTTATCAATCAACTTTTACACCAAACACGTAATTTTTGCTTTCGTGCGTTGAATTGTGTAATAAGCAAAAAAGAAAGGTTGGAGTTACTTTTCTGGGTGTATTGGCTGAAAACTGTAGATGATCATTTTAACTATTTTAAAATATGATTTTGTCTTTATTTTATTAATAAAATATATTTTAAAAATAGTTTTTTCTTAAATTAGCAGAATCAACCAATGCAGTCACTTCAGCCAAAACTTCATAAATTTTAGCAGAATTAGCCAAATGAGCCGATTTTCGGGCTACCAAACGAACTCTTTGATTAGCTCATATACTTAAACACTTGACATCATTTGCTCATACCTAAAACTTATACACACTACCTCATTTTTCATTCTAAAAAATTACTCTGTAATCCGTATTGTTTTTTTCATCTATTAAATTGCAACTCCGTCAAGATACGAAGTATAACATACGATTCTATTATAGTACTCTCTATATAAAAATAATGAGAAAATAATTAAAATACTTCAAACTTTGAAAGAGCTAGTGTGAGATAAGCACCCCAAACATGCATATGTAATTTAAACACCTTAAATTTTATATAAAAAGTCATTTTAGCACCATATTCATGTATTATTTCTTTCAAAAATGTTAGTTTTTTGTGTTAATCTCATAATTTAAAACATATTAGCATTCATGAAAATACAATTAACATTCTAAACTTCCATTGTAAAATAAATAATACTACCCCCACTCTATGTAATTACAACGATTTTAATTTGCTATTTTAAATTGTGAAATTAAAACTATAAATTTACATTTTTGAAAGAAATAATATATGACCATGGTGCTCACATAACTTTTTATATAAAGTTTAAGGTATTTAAATTACATATGAAAGTTTGAGGCACCTATCTCATCACATCCCTTCAATGCTTTGGATATTTTAATTATTTTTCCCTGAAAATAATACGATTATAACAAAAGTCATTTACAAACAACGCTAAAACTCACCAAAAGTAAAACAAATTTCAACATTGGGCATATATGGTACACTCGCGCCACGCGCAAACTATTTCTAGTTATAATTATAATTATAATTATACTGAGGTATAGCTACAAGCCTACAAATCTACAATTTTACGTTACATGCACGCACCATAATGTCATTAATTTGTACTTTAAAAGCAAATTAATGACAAATTAATACATCTAAACCGCATTATTTATGTAGAAATTTAAATTAAGTTGCTCAATAAAAAATACTACTGAATTAAAGCTTAAATCAGCTGTTGAGTGGATAAGCTGGTGGTTCTAACCTTGAACTTAAATTAAGAGAATCTGGAATTGAACGTTTAAATAATAGTCCTCCCGATATTTAATAAAAATCACCTATAATATTTAATAATGCGGAGTATAAAAGAAGAAGAAGAAGAAATTTAAAGTAATGGATAGCGGAAGTAAAAGAAAATGAAGGCATATTATGATTATTATCGATTTATGTCCATTTTTTGTTACGTTGAACACTTTCTATTGTAAAATGTCTTTTTGATCGGCTCGATAACCTCGATTTCAATTTTCAACTACTCCGTAATCCGTATCATGTTAACTTGGTAAATAATGTATATCAGGACTTCAGGAGGTATAGACGTATAGTCATGGAACAAAAACTTAAAAGCAATTTAAATTTATTTTAGGTGAATAAATAAATAAATCAGAGAGAAACAATATTAGTGTTGACGTAAAATATTTTACCAACGTCATAATCATTCCGTAACAGTATTCATATCTGTATTGATGCACTAATTTAATTGGATTCTTTATCAATTCGAACTCATAAATTAACATGTACTAATTAATTGAATTCATTATCAATTGGTACATGCTTCCGCATTCTAAGCAATTCTATTATATTATTGATTATTTATGTTTTCTTAAGAATTGTGATATATATGAAAAATAAAAGCGTTCAATTGAAATGTGATATGTACTCTCAATAAGAGGAACAATCAATTTTCACTTTCTTTCAAAACGAAATAAAAATAGTGCTCCGTATTTTTTATCCGGACAAAACTTATACTAGTACTACATATTTCAATTTGTTTATGACATGGAATATGGTACATAAATAAAAGTACAATATAATTTTGAGTTTTATATTGAATATAAAAAATATGAATAATCAGTAATTATTATTCTGAAATAATTAAGGATATCAATTGTTCATTTGTAACTCCAGTAATACCGTCATTGTCATTGTAGAAGAGAACTATAAATACAGCACGAATTGTTCATCCAATAAAAAATAAAGCATGACTTGAATCTTCATTTCTGCAAAAACCATTTCGATAGCCATTAATTATCATTCTTTCACTGGTCTTCTCAAACTCAGTAAGCAATTAAAATGGCAGTTTCCGATGAGTATAGAGTTCTCACAAAAGCATTCTCAGGTCCCCTTCCGTCCATTCCTTAGCTATTATCCACTTTCTTTTCTTAGTCTATGTGTTTATTGTGCATCAACTAGTCAAAACTTTTGTGTGTTCATTCCGTCGAGCACTCAATTGTTCAAAATTTAGTTGTTTGTTTATAGATTTTTTTGGTTTATTAATGGTGGCATATGTGTTATATATGTAGTGATAATTATGAATGATCTGAGCTCTTTTGAGAATTGAGATCGAAAAATGTCATACAGATCGATCGGCCTGTTTAACTGGATAATTGAGATGATGAATACCGTATACATGTGCTTCGCAATTAGACGGTCAAATTGAATTGTATTTTATCATTTACACATTGCTAGATTTTATCAATTTCATTTACTCCGTAGTTTGTTTTGGACGTTTTACTTGACTACATTCGGCCTTCAAACCAGATTAGTTCATTAAACCAAATTAGATTTGAATAGTTATAAAATATATCGCGCGGGGCCATGCATTCAGAACAGACTACAAAATTTCAATCCAGCATCCTTATTGGCACCACCATCTGAAGACCTGAATAGTACGTAGTTTGAACTTTTAAGTTAGGCTAAAGGGTCAGATAGGCCCTCGAACTAACTTAAAAAGTGCAATTAACCCCTTATATAGGAGACTCTGTCCGGCCGTCGCCAATTGGGGCGATTTCCGGTGGAACTTTTTGATGAATTTTTTTTAGCATCTTCTTCATTAAGTTTATTTTACTCATACCAAATTTTATCTAAAAATTCAATCGGGTAGGCAGTAAGATGAATTTTTTAGGATAACTGCGCTGTTAAACAACGCAGTACATTTCAGAAAATCATTTGACTGTCTTCCCGGTTAAATTTTTATTTGAAATTTGGTATGCGTAAACTAGACTTAATGAAGAAAATGCTCAAAATTTTTCATCAAACAATTCCACCGGGAACCGCCCCAATTGGCGACGACCGAACAGAGCCTCCTATATAAGAGATTAATTGCACCTTTTAAGTTAGTCTGACTGTCTGAGGACCTATTTGACCCTTTAGCCTTTAAAAGGGTGTTTGGAATGGATTCTGCTTCTGCTTCTTTTTTTAAAGCAGAAGCAGAACCAGTTTCCAGAAGCTGGTCCCCCCAGCTTCTAAAAAAACTGATTCTAGGAATAAATTAAAGCACCAGAATCACTTATGCACTTTCACCCAAACACTCCGTCTTCTCCTTCTGCTCCAATAAGGAGCAGTCGGAGACTCGGAGTTTTAAGAATCAGATCCAAACAGCCCTAAGATCAATCAATTTTCAGTTATTGAATGGTATAATGTTACTGTCTGTACCAAGAGTACCTTAAGTACTCATATAATTATACCATTAACTATTAACTGAAATAATATTGGTTAAAAAATGATAATATTGTTCCACTTTAATTTTTAATCGAAAAATTATATGTGTCGGTTGAAATTTTATGCGTATAAAAAAATTAGTCAACTTTTAATTAAAAACTTATTTGACTAACATTTAAAAAAAAGGAATTAATTCAAAAAATACTTTAGAAATATGAAAATTATATACTTTTTATTAGTTGAAACCTTTTCATTTTTACATTTATCAACGTATAACTCGATCATTAATATACTTGGCATTTCATTTAATAAAATTCAAATTTAAAGTGTAAGTAACTTAACAATGTTAAAAAAACAGATTTCGAGTGCTTTAATTAATAAAATGTTATAAAAAAGAGCATTTATGTATTATAAAACATTGCATATATTTAAAAACTACTACGTATTAAGAATCGACCTAGGATGAACTTTAAAAAAAAACGACCTAGGATGAGTTTTTATTTGGATTGTTTTCAGTCCAACTAAATGTTGTGCGGGACAAAAAAAACGAACATCCGGAGATGAAGGACAAAAGGTTTATGTATTTGGGTTTTCAGGGCTGGGAGTGGATGAGAAGGCGTTCGTTTCAATTCTGGGGAAATGGGATCCAAAGCAGAGGCAATTCTACAGGAAGAGCAGTCATGAATTCTTCAGGGACGATGAACGCCAATTCGAGAGGTGGGATGAACATCATGTCCTCCAACTCAGGCAAGAGTTTTTACGTCTCAAGGTACCACTATTTATCTTCCTTCTAAAAATTAAGAACTTTTGTGTAAAACATGGTTTTGAATTGCGGTTGCGAGGTCATTGTGTTTGTGGCTATTGTGGCAGCTGCAATACTGTACTGTAGCTTGAATTAATTTGAAGTTCGAACGAATAGCAAAAAAATTGAATTAGTGTTGCAGTCCTGATGCAGCCTGGATGTGGTTGCTTTACATTGCCATTTGGCTTTGAATTCAAAAAACACAGTCATTGCGGCCTGATGTTTTTGGCGTGCAGCCCGCGCACAACTAGAATATTGAGGCCGCATTGGGCGTTGCGGTCCGCATTTTAAATCCATGGCACTATAAATTTCCCACCTTCTTGTTCTTTCTATGAATGTGAAATCCACAGCGATTGAGAATATTGTCATAGGAAATCAATTCAGTTCTCAAATTGAGAATATGAAAGTTGTTAGCTCTTATGAAAACGTGAATGAATAAGTTTGGGTGTTGATTAGGCCAAAAACTCAAAGTAATTGTGATTTGATCTTATGTTTAGAGTTCAAAATATTTCTCTAGTAGGCCGATCTTTAAATTCAACCCGATAGGAGGAACTCAAAACCTTAAATGCGGTTTTTTAATTTGGACGGTGTTTGATGTCTGTTTTCGATGAAATGTTGGTGTTTGATGTTTTGATACTATGTGTTGGTGTTTATATTCTAGCTTATCAGAAGATGAACTAGTTGATTAGTCGTCGAGTTGTTTGTGATTGGTCACTTATAATGGCAGGATGCGGTGGTGCTATACACATTGCATCCGTGGGAAAGAGATGCCCGCTTGTTAAAGGAAGCATTGGTGAAGGGACCTCAACTCGATCTGCTCATAGAGACGGCATGCACAAGGCCGTCTGATGAGCTTTTGGGAGCAAGAAGAGCTTACCATTCCCTCTTTGAACACTCCATTGAGGAAGACATAGCCTTCCACATCAAATCCCCAGAAAGAAAGGTAATTACCATACCAGAAGGGGGGGGGGGGGGTCAAATTATATTATACACCCAGAGTTAAATTTATACCGTGGTATTTTTGTAATTACGTATTGGGATGTGAAGCATGATCATTTCTTTGTGGTCACATTTTTTGTTCTGCTCATTGTGATTGTCTACAATGACTATCAGAAATTAAATAAAATTCATTTTGTATACAAAGAGTGTTTGTTTGCATCATTTGTACCATGTGTATGGCAGATACTTACAGATAGGGATCTACACAACGGATTTTGAGTGAGACTGTGAGAGGGAGGGACCTCATTGGTTGTCTAGTTGTGTGTGTGTGTGTGTCAATTTCAACATGTTTAATTGTTCATACATTAACTGGATTTAGGTTGGCTTTATTAATTTTTACTATCCGGTAAAAATGTGAGCTTCTGGTTGCACTTGTGACATGTGTGATCTGCATTTGGTAGCTTCTGGTTGCACTTGTGAGCTCATACCGCTATGAAGGACCGAAAGTGCATGAAGATGTTGCAAAATCAGAGGCTAAAGTGCTGGTTAATGCCTTAAAAACTGCTGATGAGAGCAAGAGCCTTGTTGGAGATGAGGAGATTGTAAGAATACTGGCAACCAGAAGCAAGTTGCACCTCATGTCTGTATACAAATATTACAAGGATTTCACCGGAAACTTTTTGGATGAGGTATGTGATTAGTATGAGTACAATAATAATCCCCTCTCATTTGCTACCTTCATTGTTTTGCATTACAGCTATAAGATTTTCCACCAAACACAAACTTAACCGCATGTGCTAGCTGAAAACATGATTTTAAAAAATACCCCTGTGAAAACAAAAGTAACCTCTTTAGCTAAATGAAATGAAATGACATTTAATTTCATTTTAGACTGAAGATAAAATATTAAAAAACAACAAATTAGGTTTGCACTTCATTTTCTCTTTTTAATGCTTACAGGATCTTAATGGCCGCTGGGCATTAAAACAAACGGTGCAATGCCTTTGCGCTCCTCAAGTGTATTTCAGCAAGGTCAGATTATCACACCAATAGATGCACAATATATACCACCTCCATCTCCTCCCAACTGTCCGACTGATTCTAGGACCCTAAGAGATGGGGTGCCATCCCTTTTTTATATACCACCTCTATTAATATTCATTAACAAAGTGAATAATAATAATGTTAATAATCTAGCTAATTGGTGTGATGAATGTATATACCAGATATTGGATGTGTCGTTGAGAATGGGGGTAGAGGAGGCTGCTAGAGACGCAGTGACTCGAGTGATTGTCACACGAGCGGATGAGGACATGAAGCACATCAAACAAGAGTATCAACGCAAGTATGGGGTTTCTTTGTCGGACAAGATTGAAGAAGTTGGCAATGGCAGCTATAAGGATTTCTTGCTCACTTTAGTCGCAAAAGCAGAATGATTCAGTTAACATTTTGACTTACATTAAATATTTTATTTAATATTTCATGGATGCCTTTTCTCCCCCTGCAATGTTACATGACTTTTGTAATTTCAGTTGAATGATGAATGAATAATAATGAACAATATTGATACATTATTACTATTATCAAACTACAATATGTAGAGGTGGATTAAGAACCTGAAAAGGTTCTTTATTCTTTCCAATGGGTGTGCCACACTTCATTCATAGTTATGTCATTTTTCATATTATCATAAGACTTTAAATTTCATGTTTATAAATATGTTTTTAGTCCCTGCAAATATAGTACATTTTGTTTTAAATTCCTGCAATTTTTTTTGGTTTTCGTCTCTGCAATTTATGTTGGTGTTCTTTGTAGTCCATCACTGATGATATCAACATTCGTTTGATCTGAAACTAATCCCGACTAATAGATTACCTTTAATCCTTTGTCATGTTATTAAAAAAGTATTTAATTTTATTTTTTCAAAGACTTTTATTATATATTTTAAAAATGTGAATATTTAGTTTTATATAATTTTAGCTCTCATATTAGACTCAAAAAAATTATAAAATGGTAAGTTTAGATATTTTTAGTAGATTTATGCAAGTGAGAGTAAAAAAAAATCCAAGTAGAGTGATTTTGGAATCAGGGAAGGACTAAAAACAAAATAGGGCATACTACATGGATGAAAAAAAATGACAGGGTCGTAAAACAAAGTGTGTCATTTTTGCAGGGACTAAACACATATTTAAGCCTTATTATTATGACTTTGACTGTCCCATTTCGGCTTATCATTATTATCATCAATTTTTTTTACCAAATACATATGTTTTGATTTTTCGCACTGGGTTATTAATTTCCAAAATAAATAAAGTCGAAGTTACTTTTTAGCATAATCGACTCAAATTGATGAATAAGATTTTTAGCTATTTTTCATATAATACATAGTATTACCCACGTCCCGGCTAAGGATGGACTGGGCCGGTTCGGCTTGGCCCGAAACCCGGTCTGGGCCTTGGGGCCCAAACCGGGGGGGGGGGGGGGGGGGGGGTTGGATCAGGCTACAGGATTGGTATTTGGTGGCCCGATCCGGGCCGAAATTGTTTTATTTTTTCAAATGGATTGGGTGCTAGGCGGGTTGGGCTGGGTGGTTTGGGGGGTGGGGTGCGGTAGGAATAAATAAGAAAAACAAAATTAATAAAAAAAACCTAGACCCGGCCCGGTCCCGGAACCAACCCGGGCCGGTACCGGGCCTTCAATTCTCAAACCCAGTCCCGCCAAAATCTTGGCCCGGGGCCCAGCCCGACCCGGGCCCAGCCTACCCCTAGTCCCGGCTAAAGGTTCCCATTTGCAAAACAACTGAATTATTTAGTCAATATTGAATAAGGTAATTTGAGTATATTTTGAAAAATAAGTTTGATGAGTATATAATGTAATGATATTATGATAATAACTATGATATATAGATGTAATGTTTTTAATATTTGATAATTAAATTTTTATTTAAGAGTGTTAATTATTTAATTTCATAAAAGGCTAAAGGATCAAATAGATCCCTCTACCTGTTCGTAATGCTCAATTCGCCCCCTGAACTTAAAAAAAGCTCCAATTAGCACTCTCAATTGGATAAAAAGTTTCAAATTTGACAATTTGAAGGTAACCATCCGATCAGCGCCACATCATCAGGTTATGTGCCAACTGCGCATCTGATGTTTCAACTCAAGGTGTCAAATAAGCCCCTGAGCCAAACCGAATTGTTCAATTCACCCCCTCAACCGTTAAAAAGTGTCAAAATTGTGAAAAATAAAAAATAAAAAAATACAAATATAAATAAAATATAGTTTGAAAATATCAAATATAAAAATGAAATATTTGTATTTTGCATTTAATTCAAAATAAAAATAATATATAAAATAAAATAATTTATTTACCTTTATTTACAAATATTTTATTTATATTATATATAAAAAATGTGGAAGTTATGTGTACAAACATACACACATATATGTATTACCTTACTTTATACTACATAATAAAGTATGTAATTACTATTTTTTATATTTTACTTCTTATATAGTACTATATAAAGTTTTCATGGTCTAAATAATTACTACAAAGCATAGAATTTAATCTTCTAGATGTCTTTTTACTTATATAAATATAAAACAGCTAGTCTAATTAGTGTACTTCGAAAAAACATAATTACAACAACATCCAAACCTTAGTCCCAAAAGATATTGGGGTCGACTAACATGAATCGATACATGATATCACCATCAAAAGGAGAAGAAAGAAAATAAAGATGAAAAAGATAAGCTATTATAATAAAGATGTATAAAATGAGCATATATATAAAATGACAAAGTAAAAAGGATAAAAAATAATGTTTATATATATAGATAAAAGGATAAAAACAAGGGGGGAAATGAGGGGAAAAGATAATGCGAGACCACTCCTCCACATGAGTACCCGCTCTCCACTTTGCTCTCTCAAAAGTCATACCCTCATCCAACCCAAAAAGAAGCATATCACTTCGGACTCCCTTAACTCACGTCTGTTTGGGCCTACATCTCCTTCTCTTTCCTGCCTCTTCTCCACACATCTCAACCCGTCTTACAAGTTTTAAATAAAAATTTAATATCTTATTATACCAAACTAAAAAATTTATTTGTAAATAAATTAAAAATACAAAATGAAAAAAAATTGGAAAAAATTAAACATAATATAAATCATCATACCAAAAAAACGGGAAAATGTAGATATATTACATAAAATACAATTTTAAATATAATTAGTGGAAATATATTGTTTATTCTCTTATATAAAATATAGATATAAAATATAGAATATAGTTAAAGAATTTGTATATTTTATTTTCTATTATGAATTTACTGCAAAAGTTAATATTTCATATTTATATTTTATATTTTAAACTTGTGTTTTATTTTATATTTGTATTTTTTATTTTTATTTTTTATTTTTTGTAATTTTGACAATTTTTAACGGTGGAGGAGGTGAATTGAACAATTCAGTTGGGTTCAGGGGCTTATTTGACTCCTCTAGTTGCCACCTCAGATGAACAATTGGCACATGACCTGATGACATGCCGCTGACCGGATGGTTACCTGCAAATTGTCAAATTTGAAACTTTTTATCCAGTTCAAGGTGCCAAATGCAGCTTTTTTAGTTCAGGGGACGAATTGGGCATTATAGACAGGTACATGAGCTTATTTGACCCTTCAGTCTTCATAAAATAGATTTGAGAACCTTTAGCACGGACGTCCAAAAAAGAAAATGAGAGCCTTAGACCGGCACGAAGTGAGTATATAGATTTTTTAAATTCAACCACTTCAAATTTATTCAACTTATTCAATTAATCAAGTCAGACTAATATTCAGGTCCGGCCAGGCCGGACCACTCCCCCCGTCCGGCCTCCTCCATTTGGGGGTCTTCCTGGTGGTATTTTTTGCTCAAATTTTTTGTGTAGGTTCCTCATCAAGTCTAGTTCATCCATACCAAATTTCAGCCAAAAATTCAATCGGGAAGGTCGTCAAATGATTTTTGCAAGTTAACTGGTCCGGAATATGTATTTTCCGGACCAGTTAACTTGAAAAAATCATTTGACGACCTTCCCGATTGAATTTTTGGCTGAAATTTGGTATGGATGAACTAGACTTGATGAGGAACCTACACAAAAAAGTTGAGCAAAAAATACCACCGGGAAGGCCCCCAAATGGAGGAGGCCGGACGGGGCTCCGGTCAGGTATACCTGACCGGAAGACTACTCAATCAAGTCATACTCGTAGTTTATAAGAATAATAGAAAAATCAAATATTACCACTATTGAAGAGCATAGTATATACTCCTATAAAAAAATTACATTCTCTTTCTATCATATTTGCACTTTAAAACGAGGTTTAATGCACCAACCCCGTGATATGGAAATTCGGCGCATTAGCTTCTCATGATTTAAAAAAATGCAACAAACCTACTTATTTTTTAATTAATTATGCGCAAAATCCCTTCTATGAACAAATTCAATTATCAAATAAAAGAAAATGATTAACATTTTGTATGATTTAGAGATTTTGACATATTTACTTGCATATTCATTTAAAATATTAGGAAAAGTGATTTTCAAATTGTTAAATTTATTTATAATAGGAATCGCACATGATTAATTAAAATATTAGAGATTTTAACATATTTTTTAAATCACATAGGCTAATGCAGCGAGTCAAATATTTTTGAATAATACATACGATATACGGACATACGGTAATTGAATGATTGTCCAAGACCTTCCCATCCCCAACCCAACCACCCAGCCGCTCTCTCAATAAGCATCCTATTTTGTTTTGCGAACCCGCACTTTTCCAATTTTGTTTTGACCCATGTTCCACAAACAAATCATGCAACTGAAACTTTAGTTGCTTTTCAAGAAAAATATCAATGGAATGATCAAAACACACTTTTAACTATAAATGCGATCGTGATTGGAAAATTCATCCTTCTGACGCATCCGTGCAATCCCCAAATTCTGGAAATCAATGGAGGATGTAAGTTTTCTGGCGGCGCATTAATGATTATTTGTTTCCTTTCATTTTGAGGATAGATATTAATTCCGGGGCTTTGATCTATCTGATCCTTCAATTCAACGCAGAGAGGTGCGGAGAAAAATGGATTCCTTATATTCGTAGTGCTGTGAATTTACGGGTTGGGGTATTTCAATCCCGAGGCAGGGAAACATGTCTGTTCAACAGAGAGAGACAGAGGTCAATAATGGCTCAGGTAGTTTAAGTTTTTATTTGTTTTATTCAGACAGATATTAAAATCATTTCTTTTATCTTGATATTCATTATTCTACAGCTGTTTTTTTTTCTTGTAGATTTGGTTGAGTACTTCTATGGGTAGATAAAAATTTGGGCTTTAATTTCAAATTATGCTCTCAAGCTTCCTAACCCTAGCAACAATTATATAGATGGAGAGGATTCCTAGGATTAAATAAGAATGAGAACAAAAACAGACTGCTATATGTGGAATCCATTTTCATAATTGGTTTGCTTAAGAGACACTTCATGCGTAAAAACTGTCACCTATGTGAGGTAGAACCACATCGTAATGTGACATTGTAGTCAACTTGTTTAGCTGAATCCCATATACTGTGAGGGTGTGGCATGACATTCATAGTCTCAATCATTTGGGATTAATAC